GGAATCTCGGAAGGCGAACAACGCACTTCGGTGGACTTTCAAAGTTCCCTCAAAAGTTTACCCGTCTCGTGATTAAAAGTACCAAGACATTGGGTCACAATACGCGGCTCCTTTTTATTCCTTAAAATAATAATAAACAGCATTCTATATTTGTAGGATGGCCTGAAATGCACATCTTTAAAATACGATCATTAATAAATGCGAACTAAACCTTAAGGTGTTATGAAAATATATATAAATATAAAATAAAAAAAATTAAAATATTTAAAAATCATTTTTCCAAATTGGGTGCACCGAATAATTTCAAACTTAAACACGTGATTATGGAGATCCTAATATAAAGGTCTTGAAACTCGCTAGATTTCATTATTTTTAACACACTTTTTTCTCTTTTTTTTTTCGTTCTTGTCCGGCATAAATACACTTTTTTTTTTTCTCGAGAAAAATTAAAATTCCCGAGTTTCAAGACCTTCATTAGGACCGCCGTAATCCCGTAATAAAGTGTGAAATTATACGGTGCACCCAGTTTGGCGAAATGATTTATAAATATTTTCACTGACATATATATATATATATACATGACACTTTCATAATACCTTAAGATGATATAAAAGTGGCACATGAAGGTTCAATTGCNCACCACCCACCTCCACCGTGGATGGGCTCTGACCCCCACAAAATTTAATTCTCTCCCCTTTTCTATGCAAAACTTGTAAAAACCCTTGAAAAGAAATATAAAAGAGATTAAATTCTGCAATTAAAAATGCACATCCAATCGACATTCGCGGATCCTTTCGAAGCAAGCCAAAGAACGTTTCCTCCTCGGGTAGGAAAATAATTGTCAGTAAATAGGCATAGTAATTCCTGCGTCCGATTTTGGTAATGAAATTCATGGGGAATTATTAGAGGATTCAGGAATTATTTTTAAACGACGTGCCGAGTCTTCTGGTTCGCAAAGTCCTTTCCGGCCAGGAAATTCCAAAAGGGGAGTACCTTTTACGATTTCCCCGTGGAATTCCATCCCGTCTCCCTTTAAGTCTCCTTTTTACGTACTTCGCCGTAAATTCGCCCCCCACCCCCCTCGTAAAGTCCAGACGCGTCCTTAATCGTCACTTCGCCTCCGGTGCTCGAAGTGCCCTCCCAAAAAAGGACCCTTTAACGAGTCTCCCCTTTCATTAACGCGTGCTCGTCCGGTGGCCCGAGTCATGCGCTTACGCGTTTATGCACTTACGCACAACCGGCACCGCCATGCGTAAAACGCAACCCGTAATGATTCTCATTAGAACCCGGGGGCCGCACTTGGGAGATCCATGAAATAGATGAACCCCCTCGAAACGGCCTTAAGGTTATGTGAAACCCCCTTCAAATCGGTCGATTCTAATACAACACTTTTTTTCAAGGGTATTGGACCAAACTGTCCGAAACTTTGACACATGACTCGTGATCATCTAAGAATTGTCTTGACGTATTAAAAATTTGGATTTTTCAAATCAATTTTCGATCGATATACAATTATTGAAGGCTCTGATAACCTTAAGGTTATGTGAAACCCCCCTCAAATCGGTCGATTCTAATACAACACTTTTTTTCAAGGGTATTAGACCAAACTGTCCGAAACTTTGACACGTGACTCGTGATCATCTAAGAATTGTCCTGACATATTCAATATTTGGATTTTTCAACAAAATTACAATTATCTGCATTTTAACAATACCTTCCATGCAGCAAAGTTTCGCCATAAGAATCAAACGCCGTAAAGAGTTTCGACAATAAGGGAAAACGCGACTCCAAAGTCACGTGTTTAATTTTTTTATCCGCCAATAAATTCTTATCTGCATTTAAACAATACCTTTCATGCAGCAAAGTTTTGTTGTAAGAATCAAACGCCGTAAAGAGTCTCGACAATAAGTGTACACGGGACTTCAAAGTCACGTGTTTAATTTTTTCATCCGCCAACAAATTCCCGGGGTACAATTACGAATTACATTTATCTGCATTTAAACAATACCTCCCATGCAGCAGTTTTGCCATAAGACTCAAACACCGTAAAGAGTCTCGACAATAAGGGAAAACGCGACTTCAAGTTCACATGGCGTTCTGGAGGGACTAATTACGCGTTACGCAAAACGAGGGGGGGCCGTTAAACGGCCCAAGGTGCACACGTACAACGGGTCGTTAAACGGCCGCTTTTCTCATTGTAAACCGGGGATCAGCGAGGACGTATCGAGCGACGCGATCGGAGAAAATCGATCTCCTCTCGGGCAATGCAAAATGGCAGAGGGGGCGCCCGTAAGTGTAGGTAGAGTCTAGGTGGTATAGGTTAGCCATGGCCGTAGGTGAACCAAGGTGCACGTAGGTGAGCTAAGGTGCACACAAGAGCGCAGGCGAATCCAGCTCCATGGCCCGTCGACTACCGCATAAGGATTCAGGGCGGTCTGGCCATAAATCGGGGATAACGACTGGTCTGGGTACGCGCCGAGAATACCGCCATTAAGTGCCGCTACCTCGGTCTCCTCGTGGGGACCCTCACACACGCCGAGTGTTCCGCAATTACAACGGCGGAACAGGGGCTCCTTAACCCTTTCGGTAGGAGCGCCGGATATATCCGGCATCCATATGAAGACCTGTGTGTACGAGCGCCGGATATATCCGGCACCGATGCCTCGTACATTGGGAGACATCAATGCCCTCCCATCCTGCACAGGCGATGCCGTATCTGCAGGGGAGGCATTCATGCCCGCCAATGTACACTGGGAGACATCAATGCCCTCCCATCCTGCACAGGCGATGCCGTATCTGCAGGGGAGGCATTCATGTCCGCCATTGTACAGCGGGACGTGACGAGCGGACTTTTGGAAAAAAAAAAATTCTTTAACTTAGCCCAGACCCGAACCAAAATGGCGTTCAGCTCTCACACTTCGAGAGATATCTAATTATTGAATAATATCGCTTTTGACTTGCGGCGAGACTCGAGCTATCCCCACGTTGGAATTTCAGCTAGCTTATGGCGATACTTGGAACACAAACAACCCTAATCCGAGGTCACGTGCGTCCAGGTCGGAGAGAGGGAGGGAACTGTGCCGGTTGGAATTCCACTGCCACCTGCTGCTCCGTCTCCCCTTGGCCGATTAGGGTGCACCGGCTACCCTAAAGGCGGGTTTCCATCGCAACCCTTAAGGTGATGTGAAAATGATATCCGTCGTGTCAATCGTATATGAAACTTTTCTCCAAACTGGGTACCAAATCGCATAAAACTTTACAATATGTTGTAGGCCCTCGTAAAAAAAAAAAAATAAAAGGTTCCATTATTCTCCCCGCAAAATCCCCGATTTTGAATGTTTAATTACCTCGGGATGTTGGCCAGGGTCCCTGATACAGCAGATCGGTTCTCGTCCTCGCCGCTTGGAGCGCGTATTCCAACTGTTCGGCGGCACGTCACTGTTCACCATGCGCCGAGTGAGCTGCGCGCGCACTCGCTCTGATTTCAAACCAGCTTTCCCGCGCTCAAGGACCACCTCACGACTGCACCTTTAACGACCGATCGAAATAAATGTCAACCGCGGCTGGGGACTCTCCGTTGCCACCGAACGCGAGTACGACTCTTAACGACAGGATTAAATCGGGAAATCGCCTGCGGATTCGTTTAATAAATCTGATTAAAGACAGACTCGAGGAGTAAGTCACGTGGGCCGGTCACCACGCGGCGCAACATCGGCGCATGCGCACTGGACACCTTTTCCGATTTCAACAACGGTAACACTGCCCGGCACTGCTCTTGACTGTCGTATAAACGATCCTATTGTCACCTCGCGGCTCGATATTATCCACCGGGATGCGAGATTGCTCCATTTTGCCCGGGCCGGTAGAAGATGCGACTTTTTCCCGTGCCAACTGCGACAACGGGGGGAAAAGGGAGCACTCGGCGAGGTGTTTCGACCGACGGAAAGTGAAAGGGCGATTCGGTCGAAAGGTTACCTCTCTTTTCGTTCCAGGCAACAATGGAAACTGGAAACAGGCGTGGACGTGACCGCCGGCCAAAGAGAGCGTCGCGCGACTTCGCGGGACTTCGCGTACTGACGAGTCGCCGGGCGGCGTCCGACGCGAACCGCGTACGGGCCGCCGCCGAGCCGAGCGTAGCCGAAGATGGCCGAGGATGGCCGAGCGTGCGCGCGCCGCCGCCATTCAGAATCTCGATCGCTGCTGCTGCTCCTGCCGCGATTGTATGTATATCTGCTAATGTTTAAACAAAAACCGTTACGATGAATTCATTGTATGTACAATACATGTTATATACGTGGTTTTCATGTATATTAAGGAACTTTGACCTAGCATTATCTGCGATGTTTAGCATGGTGCGTCAAAAAAGAATGTCGTATTCTGAATCTCTTAAACGAGTAATGTCAACTTTTATGCAACATATAATACGTCCCTAATTTTCTACGCGAAGTATGTTACGCCCTTCTGCTTCTAAATAGAAAATAATAAATCCAATTAGAAATCTGATATTAGTTAGGGTTAAGTCGAAAGAATTTTGATCACAAGCGTTAGATTTTAATTAGTCCTTAAAAATGTGATGTGTTTATATGTGTGCTAAAAGAGGTTTATAATCTAACGGATGCCGTATATCGCACATCTGCGGCATCCTGCATATTGGAAACGTAATTTACTTTGATAAACTACTTTACGTAATATACGTCGAAGACCTCGAAAACTCGAAAACTCGAAATTGCCCAACCCTAGGGAAGGGACATGTGCGCATGCGTAGAGTCAAGCCGGCGACCGGTGTCACGTGATTCGCTTGTTTCAAGATGGCGACCTCTTGCCGGGTAAGCTTCGCGCATGGACGTATTTTTACATCCATGGTTTCGCGAGTCAGCCGACAGCGTTGCCAGCTCGTAAAACAGGTCCCACTTGTGGTAGCTCGCCTCTGCGCCGTGGTGATGTGGCACCGTTGCATTCCGTATTCGCGCTACTGCCGGTTCTTCGCTAATGGAAGGGGAGAACTTTTAACTTGACGGAGAAAGTCCCCTGTGCGTGGCGGAATTGCTGGGAGTCTGGCAGCGTCAGCCGCTGAACGCTTTTCGTTGCGGATTGCGGTTTAACGTGCAGGTAGTATTAGAAGTACCCTTTGTTCTGGTTAGTTGCTTTCGCCTAAGTTCACGATAAGTTGCAATGGGTTTGTAGGTTATCCTTTGCCAAGGTGAACTGTGGACGCAACTGCGCATGTGGTCAACGTGAAGATTTTTCATATCACGAGACGCAAATTCCGGGAGAAGCAATGGATCCAGTAGAATTTGTCATCTTTGGCTGTGGGAGAATTAGTTAAGCCCTCGGAAGTGTGGTCGACGAAAGCAGATTCAAAATAACTGATTCGGCAGCGTTAAGATTAATGTCTTTATGATTGCGACAAGTTGGGAGTGTACTGTCAATTTATAAGAATTAGAAGGATAATTATAGAGGACGAGGTAGGGAAACTGCAAGAATTCTGTTTGATGGTCATGTAGCCATTGCTTGTTTTGCCATGTAAAAAGCATTTGTGGGGTATAAACTTTCAGTGTATACCTTGAATTATGTTTTTTAATTTACTAGTAATCTGCCTCTCATATGATCTGGTATCCCCATTATTTTAATATTTACATTTTCAGCATTTAATAACTTTGCTACTCTATTTTTTTGTTCTTACTGCTCTTTTACATTTAAGTATGTTACATTATCATTTAATAATAAGACATTAAGTGATTCCTAATCAAGTACTACTTGGCGGGTTTGTACTAAAAATCTGAATTACCCAAGTATAAGTGTTATCAATACGCATTTTTATCATATCAGTTAAGTTTTGCATAAATTTCGACAAAGTATACTTTTCATGTTGCATGCATTGTTATTATACAAAGACTAATCATACGTAGATTGTAAGAGACCAACATAAATATAAATGTCGGTAACGAGACGCGCCAGCTTATGTTACCACTTGAGTATTCAAAATAATGTTACCACCAAAAAGGGTATAGATAAATTTGAATTTAACGACGTCGATTAAATTTCTCAGCGCCTTTCATATCGTCTTAATCAACTGCGAATATTTGGAAAGTTAGAAAATGAAATACGGTATAACAAAAGATCTCGTTAAAGCTTTATGTTATTGGCAAGCTTGCGCGAGGCGCCATCTTTTGTGATAACACTGACTTACAAAGGACGTGTTGCCAACTTTACTATTATTATAGTATTTTTACTATCATTTTAGTCTCTAGTTTATTTTCGGCATTAGAATTTATTACGTGTTCAGTTTCCAGTTGGCTCGTGAAATATTGCAAATGAGCGTTATAAATAAGTCTATTCAATACTATTAATTGTTTAATGCGTTGAATTGCATTTCCTTTCCTTCTTAAATACAGGCAAAATTTAGGACCTCAATATCTCAATATTTGAACCTTTCAATTTGTAATACTATTTTCTTCATTGTATGGGATATTGTACTATCTGGTACTATCATTTTAGTTTGACTGAATTAGAATAAATTGAAGTTGAAGTTGGCAACACTGGCGACGTCTTTCGTGGCACACTGACGACAAAGGACGCGGCATAACGAGGATTACGAGTTACGTCGCAGAGGAATTTCATTTTCTTTTTCGAACTTTCTAAATTATGTTCAATTATATTCGACCTACGGAATCATTTCACGAGCAATTACGATTTTAAGACATCGTTCTCCAGTCATCGCCATATCGCTTGTAAGGTATGTTCAGCGATAATCGAATAAATCTAGCGACGAGCCGGCGCGTGCCGGTTAACCTCACTTTTGACCGCTGCTGTTTTTGAGTACATATAAATGGGTTAAATTGAGAATAGCATTCTGCACGGTTCAGTTGAGAATGTTATTTTATAGACGTAGTTTGTACGGTAATTGTACAATTAGACGTACTCATTCTAACATTCTTTTAAGCAAAGTTTGTTTCTGTTTTCATTCTCATCGATCTCATTTTGTTTAAATTTCATGTGCTATAGAATTTGAGGTTTCATAAGTGTCATTGATTTGAATGCATCTTAGATAAATGTTGCATAAACTTAATTAGCGTAGGACGATACAAATAAAAAATTTACTAACGCCCTTTTTTGATATCTAGTTTTTCTCAAAATCGATAGAAATACTATATTATTGCCGACTAGTATGTCAATAGTTAAGACTCATTTGTTTAATTCAGGTACCATCCCAGACTGTAGTATAGAATTAAACGAAGCAGTGCTGCGAAGACCTTCGTACAAAAGAGAATTTATATATTAAATTTTCATTAATCATGGAGCAGTGTAATAACTGCAAAGAAATCATAGTTACGGAAAATGAAATACATTGTATTGGACCTTGCGAGAAAGTATGGCACAAAAATTGCGTTTCTACCGTATTTGGTTATTCAGTGGATGTCGTCAATAGTAAGGAATTTAGATTAAAATGTACATCCTGTACAATAGAAGTTGTTTCCGAGGATCGAGGTAATCCTCCGAATGAGCTGGGGGAAAAGCTCATTGCCACAGATACAGAGTCGATATTTGACGATGTTCTCTCAGATTCTTCAACCAATGAGTCTAGATCATCGTCCATGTTGACTGCAGGCGAGTCTTCTGACGAGGAAGACATTAAATCTGCAATCTCTGCCAATGCTTCTCCAGAACCTGTGTCAACTCCCGTTCCTGCAGATTCTAATAATGCGAGTGATCAAATCGAGTCTTTATCAGTAGCCAAAGATACACCGTCCAAGGAATCAATTTCTTCACCTGGCCTCTCGTTACAAATTCAAGATTTGTCAATAGTTGATGGCAAGACTGGTACATCTAATGGTGATAATTCTGTAGTTGATAAGGAAATAAACCGGGTATCCATCGATGAAAATAAACCTGTGGTTACGGTCCAAGAAAAGTTATCCCCTCGAAATGAAGCATCGACCACTGGTGCACAGCTCGAAGCAACTTTGAAGACAGAAAATGGAACCTCTGTTAGTCTGGACAAAACGTCACATGCTATTGATACTAAAATTGTATCTGAAATAGCGGCTACTGCAGTCAAAGAAGAAATAAAGGGGAACGATTCACTCACTTCCTCTCCCTCGGCAAGTATTAATGGAACTCCCAATAATATAAACAGTAGTAATAGCAATGAAACAATCCACGATAAAGGAACTGCTACCGAAAACATCCCGTTAGTAAAAGATTTACTTTCAATGATTGAGAGTTTGAAAAGTAGTATGGTCGACATGAAAGCTAAGTTGGTTGCAAATACCGAAACCATACAAATTTTAAAACAGGAACAAGACTTATTAAACCACGAAAATAAATCTCTAATAAGAAGACAAATCGCACACAACAGTTCAATTCAGAATTTAACGACTGAAAATACACTCCTTACGACTAAGCAGGAAGAATTACGCACCTCGCTTCACAGATTGAGAGGCAGCGTGTGGAGTATAAGGAAAAGTTTAAACAAAGTGATGACTGAAGTCGAAGAGTTAAGCGAAGTTCGTACAAATGTAAGCGAAGATATGGATAACACTGATGATAAGCAGGAAGAAATATGGGATCGACTTATTCAAATCGAATGTGCCATGTTTGAACATGATCTGGTAATATCTGGATTGCCAGAAAAACCAAACGAGAGATTGGACGAAATGGTGATTCTAATTGCTGCTGTTTACAATTATATATTAGAGGGCAGTGATATTGTTGAAGTGTTTCGTGAATTCGAAAAGCTCAATAATCAACCGCGGAGAATAATAGTGAAGTTTGCTTCGATGAATACAAAAAATGAATTTTTGAAACAAGTGGCTGCAAGAGGAGTTGTCACTGCAAACATAATTAATAAGGATTTCTCTATTAAGAGAAAAATATCAATCGAGAAGAGATGTTCACCTAATGCAGTGAAATTACTTGCTCTTGTTAAACAGAAAATCGATCACAATCAACAACGATCGGCCTGGATCGAAGATGGTCGAGTTTTTGTGAGCAGAAATGGCATTAAGGATCCTTTTGAAGTAATGTTTACTTCTGACTTGGATGTCTTGGACGATATGTGATGTAGATCCAACAAAATGTATAACCTCTGTTACGATATTAAAATCGTAATAGAAATTTCACATGTTCATCGTGATAAGGTTTTCGAGAAAAGTATTTCATACAGATATTTTAAAAGCAGCTAAGTTCAGACATTTTCATTAATAAGTTCTCGTTGATTTCTTACCATACTTAGAATTATCTAAGGCAGTTTCTTGAATGCATTCGGTTATAACTTTATGACTGACGATAATTTTATTTCTGTTTTTATTGAGTATAGAATAAGGAATACATTGTTAAAAATGTTTATTTGTTTTCCCAACAACGATTAAAGTTATGGAAGTATTTTTGATACTATCTTGCATATTCTAAATTGTTAAACAAGTTCCTTGTCATAATTTGTTACTAGTTCGTAACTCATAAGCAATGGTTGTAACTTGTAACAAGATGAAGGTTTTTGAACGTTGGAAACTTAGCGACGAGTCTTCCAATAATTTTGTTTTATTATCGATAAGATATCCAAAAGGCGAATTTTATTTAATTGTTGATTGAGTTTTCGAAAATGAGCGTATTTTGTTTTAATACAGATTTCTGGACTAGTATGCTTCCCTAGAAGCAAATGTTTCTTTCTGTTGCGCCATACACCTTTTCTTTCAGTTGTAAACGTAACGTACTAAAAAGAAATCATTCGATGTTATTTTCACTTTTACGCTCCTTATATCTTTATCGTTCTCGATGTATTAAAAGTTGATCAATAAATTTATTTCTTCATTTGACTTTCACAATTTTGAGTGTTCCGCCACGGGCATGTTTCAAACGGTACAATTTCTGCAAATCCCATATGTTTACCAAGAGACATCGGAATATGTTCGTGGATTACTGTTAACAATTATGCACTAGGTACTTACAATTTATTGCGAACCTGAGGTACAACTCGTTAAATAATCGCGACTCACCTGGAACAGAAAAGAAAATTCATTTAGAGAGGTATTAGATAAGGTTTCACGGATTTATCTTTCAAGGAGACTTTTAGATATCTTGTTACATCCATTGTTATGTTTTAGTTATTACAGTTAGCCAGTTTCGGTAGTTACAAAATCTTCGGCAAATACCGTTCAAACTGTTTCCATTGAAAGATATTTGAAAGTACAGAGTTTCGATAAATCCCGATACCGAGGTTAGGTTAATTTTTATGGTTATCGGTATTTGGAACAGCCATAACATAACCTCCCCTCTCGCCGAGTACTTTTCCAGCATTCCATCCTCCCGCGCGTCACCTTCACCTTCGTTCGCGCGTCCATTCATTGTACCTGAGAGGAACCGGTTGGAAAAAAGGAAAGGAAGAAAAAACGCATCCCCGAGGAAGAAAAAGAATATCGGGGCCCGCGTCACCTTGCGAGAGGCCGCGGCAATTTTCGAGAACCGAGGAGCGTCGTCGAAGAGCCGACGGGAATGGAGAAGGAAAGAAAAAACCGGACAAAGATGCGAAAAAGGAGAATAAAAGGGAAAAAGAGGAAGCGGAATGGAGGCATCCTCATTCCGGACGCTCCTCCGTCTCCCTATCTCCCTCTTAAGCGGGAGCCTCGGCATATCGGCCTCTTTGTCTCGCGAAGCCCGCCAACCGGGAGGAAGCTCGAGAGGAAATAATTACGATGCCCTTTTAAAACCCGGACTCCCCGCCGCCCTTTGTCGGGTCCCAGCGGAGAGAGAGAGACGCGGATACGCGGAAGCCCTAGGAGAGAGCGAGAGGGGGCGTCCCGCCGGGTCTTGAGAAGGCGGGCGGTGGGAGAGAGACCGATATACGCGGGAGTCGGGAGCGCGAGAGAGAGAGGGCGATGTACGCAGGGGTTGGGAGCGCGAAAGAGAAGCCGACTGTGGTACGGTGACGAGACGAAGATGGCGCCAGGGGGCAGGTGCTGGGAGGGAGAGAGAGGGCACGACCGGGAAGGCAGAAGGCATCAAAGGAGTCAGGTATAAATAGCCGGGCGTCCTGGCGGACGTGCACTAATATCGTCCTCCTTTCCTTTCTTAAGGTAGGTCCCTTCCTCTCTCTCTTTAACCGTATTGTCTTCCCTGGAGTCGTGCTGTCTCTTTCTTCCATCTCGCGGGGCTTACTCAACACATTTGTCTTCCCGAGCCTCGCTTTAATCCGGCGAAAACTCGAGGAGATCCTCCACTCGCCGCCATCTTTCTTCGCGGGTGGCGTCACCTCGCGGAGGCATCGTTAACCAAATTTCAAATTTCCACTTGGATTCGAGAGATCCTTATTCAGCAATCTCGTAGATCGTCGTTAAATCCCACCTATCCTTTTATTCGGAATAGGATATTTCGCAGTTAGTACCAAATCACTTAGACAAAGGGAAAGAAATGTGAGGAACTTCTTTAAAATCGTGAAATACGTTTTTTTTTTTCAGGTGTTTCGGTGGTTCAATTTCGCTAGATGACGGACGCGTGTTTTGTCTGCGTCCTCGATTGGAATACAAGTGTCAGGGAAAATTTATCGGAGAGAGATTCCCATCGATGGAATCCTGGAAGAGGGGGAGGAAAAACGACCTCGCCGGTTCCCTGGGGATGTTCCACGTTCCCGGATTCGTTAACAACAAACGGCCTTGTTTGAATTGCTCCGACCGGACAATCGCAATTCCACGTCCGTGCTCAATTATTCCTACGTATAAAAACAGCTGTGAATGACTTCGTTAAATTCACGAGTTTATATTATTAAGTATATTGTTCTTTAGAGGTAGATTGAGGATTATACGTCCTTCTCTTTAAACATGGGAATGTTTTTCCAGGTAGAAGATACGTGTCTCGTACCTGTTCTCAATTGGAATACAAATGTCAGGGAAGATTTATTAGAGCGAGATTTCATCCTGGAATCCCGGACGAGAGAGGGGAAAAACGACCTCGACGTCTCCCCCGGGGATGTTCCTTGCCCCAGGGTCTGCTGACAACATACGGCGGAAATCAAATAGACCGATCGTATTAGAACGAAAAACGACGTCACTTGAGAATTTCTCCAGCTGGACGGAGATGATACATTCGTGTTAACTCTTCAACGGAAATTAGATCATTTATGCTCAAAGTCGTCATATACATTCGCACCTTGCATGCGTAATCTAGCACTATACCATATTGTCACATAGGCAAATGCTATTAATAGTAGTCGAAGAGAAGACAAAAAAAGAACGTAAATCTTTTGTAGACATTTATATTTTATATCTCAGTTTTTCACGTGACATTGGGTCAAAGTGGCCCAATTTTCGTTCCGCTATTTCATTGCGGTAGCAAAACGTGATTTTAATTGTAAATATTGTTAAAACGTTTATAATGTATTCGGCAGATAATATTTAAAAGATACTTGTATTAAAATGAAACGAAATGTTTTTCAGATATTTCAAATGTCTGACAAATATTTATAGAATGTAGGATATTCGTTAAAGATACAGAAAGTATAAGAAAGATATTTTGCGCTACTAGGGATAATTAAGACTGACCAATTGTTCCTCTCTAAATATGGAAATGTATTTTCAGAGGCGCGGTCCCGTTCCTATTCTCGATTGGAATACAAGTGTCGGTTGGAATTTATCGAAGCGGGATTCCATTCCGTAATCCTGGACAAGGGGAGGGAAAAACGACCTCGACTCTTCCCTGGGGACATCCCGTGGCTCAGAATCCATCCATCCCCTTTTATTGGGACACTTGACCGATCGACGTCACGATGCCGAGGACGTCAATAGGGCCGAGGCTCGGGTTACCGGAGGCATCCTGGAATCCTGTTGCAGGATTCCCTGGGGACAGCCCTCCTACCCTTAACTGGCTGATCGAGTTACAAAACTGACCCCCTGTGCCCTGACCCGGGTCTGTTTGCGAGGGGGGCAAAAAATAAAATAGGCGAATTGGCCGCCAGATAAAACACGGCACGGTTTTTCGAAAACCTTGACGTACTCATTGTTTCTGGGAAACTCCCGGAAATCCGGCCAGCGTGGAAAAGCTTTCAGCAGCCAGGCGTGCCGGAATCTGATTTATCCTTCCATGCGATCGTCTGCCATTTATTTCATGCTAGATCACTGGAAAATGTTCTCCCGATTATGTTGTAAATTGATATTGTAATGTTTCGATGCGTGAGAATTACTGAAATTCATTTAGAGACGGAGAATTCACTTTTGCGAAGATGTAAACGAATGTCGGTAAATTATGACGACTTTGTTGACACTCAAATTTAATGCTAAAAAGCATTAAAAAAGTACTACTAACATACCCGAGTATCGGCAAATCATATACATTTTGTTATCGATTGTCTTAAGAATATTAGTTGATAAGGTTTCATGTATCGAATATTTTAAACCAATTATTGTTGAATGTTTTTTTTTTTTTAAAACAGGTAGTCGGCATTTTCGCGAACACGCATTTTAACACGTATTAATATGCATTTATTGTCTGATTTTTCAAGGGTACGAACTCCGACCATGGCTTATCACCAAGATATTGCTGGGAGAAGAACGTCTATCACCCGGCGAAGAACCGCTGCCCTCCAGGCAACAAAGTGCGCGGCGACCTTTTTTACGACACAAAGGCGTCCATTTTAATTCCTCACGTCTGAAAAAGAAGCGGCCAGGGTCAAGCATCCTGAAGGAGCGCTCGGAAGGCAAGAAGAGCGCCCCGGGGGACTCATCCTCGGAACCAGTCCCGGACCTGCCCTCATCAGAGCTGAAAGATCTGGTCCGACCGCATTCGCGACGAGATCTTGATCCTCATCAAGGTCCCACGAGGGATCGAGACGAGCTGGACAAGAGCTGGACCCCGAATCCCTCGGGATAAAGGTCGATTTACACGTGTCCGATCCGTGTCCGTTCCGTTTCCGGCTTATACAAAGATAAACATGAATGCTTTCCATGTGGATATGGTACCGCCAATGTAAAATACCAATGTACACCCTTCCGATCCGTATCCGTTCCGTCTCCGACTTATGCAGAGATGGATATGAATGTCTTCCATGTGTATATGGTACCGCTAATGTAAAATACCAATGTACAACCGTCCGATCCGTATCCGTTTCGTCTCCAACTTATATAGAGATGGATATGAATGCTTCCCATGTATAATACCAATGTACACGCTTCCGATCCGTATCTGTTCCGTCTCCGACTTATACAGAGATGGATATGAATGCTTCCCATGTAAAATACCAATGTACACGCTTCCGATCCGTATCCGTTCCGTTTCCGGCTTATACAAAGATAAACATGAATGCTTCCAATGTGGATATGGTACCGCCAATGTAAAATACCAATGTACACGCTTCCGATCCGTCTCCGGCTTATACAGAGATGGATATGAATGCCTTCCATGTGTATATGGTACCGCCAATGTAAAATACCAATGTACACCCGTCCGATCTGATTCCGAAGGCTGATTTAAGGTCGGTACGGATCCGATGTGTGTAAATCGACCTTAATGGGGATGCGCGTTCTCAGATCGGGCGATCGTGATACCTAAAAATGGTCACCGATGATGCAACTTAATGGAGGACAATTTTCCTAGCCGTAACGAGAAAAGAATGCAAAAACGAGAGACTTGTCTCTTATACACCGGCCGCCTGGAATCGTAATTGCTCGCTCCCCGAAGAAAGGGTAAATTACGGCGAATTGGGTTATTACTTCTGGCAATAAGCGGACGCGTAATGGCGGTAATTTCTGGCCGTTTATTGCCCCAAGTAATCGCGCCGTACCTCCGGTAAATGCTCCAAACTATACCGGCCGTGCTCTAGTTATAATTAGTGCTAAGGAAACGCTGTAAAATGCGATCGGGCCTATTGTTTATTGAGGGCGAGAGCTGTC